ATTAGTTTCATAAAAGGGCTGTGTACATTGGATACTTTTTCTTCCATTCCTGTGATACTTTGCTAAGAAGAACATTTTCCAGTTCCATCCACGTAAACATGAAGGAGGTAAAGTCTTCATTTTTCTTTATGGCTGCATAGTATTCCAACATTGAATGGGGAAAAGATTCCCTATTTAACAAATTGTGCTGGACGAACTGGCTGGCGACCTGTAGAAGACTCAAACTGGATCCACACCTTTCACCATTAACTAAGATAGATTCTTACTGGATTAAGGACTTAAACTTAAGACATGAAACCATAAAAATACTTGAAGAAAGAGCAGGGAAAATGCTTGAAGAAATCGGCCTGGGCGAATTTTCTATGAGATGGACCCCACGGAGAATTACTTTTATTAAAAAGTGCAAAACAATAGATGCTCGCACAGATACAGAGAGAAGTGAACACTTATGCACTGTTGGTGGTACTGCAAATTAGTACAGTCTCTATGGAAACAGTATGGAGAGTCCTCAAAGAAATGAAAGTAGAGTTTGAGTATTCTTTCCTAGGTTGGTCCTATCACTCGGTATTTGTCCATTTGTTAATTCCTTATACTTTGCATAATGCCTTTGAGATCTATATTATATGTAGCATGTGTCAGTCACAATTTCTTTCCTTCTTTAAGACTGGAGCATGTTCCATCACATGCCTATATCACATCTGTCTATCCATTCCTTTTATGTGTGGACATGTGGGTTGTTTCTACTTTGAGTTATTGTCAATAAGGTTCCTTTTAATATGGCTGTATGAATATCTATTTAGTCTCTGCTTTGGTATATCTTGTACATGTAATTTTAATTTTATTTTTGATCACTTCTCTGCCTATTGCCTAATATCAAGTGCAATTTAATTTTTTTGAGTAACTGCCATACATTTGGGTAATTATTTATATCATATTAATTTTTGACATTCTAATAAACAATTGAGGCTATAGTTACTTTTTTTTTTTTCAGTACTCGATCCCAAAGATAGTCCACATTAACTAGATGATATATAAGCACAAAATTTTGGAGAGTGAGAAAAAATCAAATGATACAATGCTCTTCAGGAAATTTATAACCCAGAGACCATTCTTGGGATGTTTATTGTCTTTGTCCAGCAGGCAAAGCAGAACCGAGAGACTTGGGTGTCACTGACAATGAACACAAAGGGGCTGAGTGTTGGGAAGCCTGAAGATACCAGGAAGGAGATGCCCCTCAGCCAGTGGCCTGGGCTCTGTAACTGGGTCACCCTGTAGGATAAAATACCAGCTAGACAATGAAGGGAGACAAACATGCTGACCAGGATGAGGATGGTGTGTGTGGCTCTAGTTTCATGAGCAGTTCTGGGGGAGGGGCTGCTGCTGCGGATGTGCTGGACTCTCTGCTTGTGCCTGTGCAGGACGAGGACCATGGAGCCGCTGGTCCAGGCCATGAGGGCCACACACGCTCCATCCATGAACGACAAAATGACTGCAAGTACTGAGAAGATCAACCTCCCTGGATAGGGTGAGGAGCAGTATCTGTACAGTGTATCCATACTCAGGTTTTTGTTATTCACTGGGCCAGTAACATACTTTGCAATTGAGATATTTATGATAAAATGCAAGATCCAGCAGAGGAAACAGCAGGAAACCATGCATCTTGGGGATCTAATTTGAAGTTCCAGCCACCTAGAGATACTTGGACAAAGTTTAATGGCCTGAAAGCCACTGAGGAGGCAGGTGGTGCTCAGGGAAACCCCTCTGGCCACTCTGT